AACATCTGTAGTAATAGAAAGGACTTGGCGGAGTCAAGATAGTTCTTTAGGAAAGTACGGATGAATGTGCAAGGTAGTATGAGCCCATACTATTGAAAGTAGAGGATCCATACTCGAATCAAGGAATGCTGAGATGAACCATCGGTAATGCGTCGCTAATGCTCTTTACCGACGGAATTGTAACGAACCAAAATCCATCGGTATATTCTTGTCGTTAATTGTTTGTAACGGATTTTCGACGGCTATGGCTAATTTTTAGTGACGGATTATTCCGTCGAAAATAGTAACGGATCACCACCATAATATATTTTGCAACGGATTACTGACGGTTTGTTTGCAACGAATTACCGATGGAAAATTTTACTAACGGATTACCGATGGAATTTGAAATAACTTACTAACGGATTACCGACGATATTTGGAATAACTTACTAACAGAGTACCGACGGAATCTCGAAATGCCTACAATTTTTTTTGTGACAGAATAGCGACAAATTTTGGCATTATAAAAAAATTTACAAATTAATGAAGAAATTAAAAACTAAAAATAATTACATATTCAACACATAAATTTTTAAACGTACATCAAATACCATAAATGCCCTCTAAAGTTGACAATAAAGGGGGATAAAATAGTAAAAATGAATGTTATTAAAAAGTAGCAATTATGATAATGCATAAGAATATGTGATTTTAAGTAATTTGGTGTATTACAGTAGCATTGAGAGATTGATGAGGATGCTAAATTGCTAATTATTATAAGAACATGGCTGATGAAATGGCCATATACTGATTACACTCGATCCACAATAACAAAAGGTGGCCACTACTTGTTAAAATCAAATGGATCATCGTTAAAAAGTAAAGTATGTTGACAATATTGGTAGTGAGAGTAAAGTAAGTTGCTCTTTATGGACATTTGCTCTAACTTTATTTATAAAATAAATAGTTTACCTTGAGCAAGATAGTCTGAAACATTTGATATCTTGCAAAGCACATCTGCACCTTCAAGATCTTCACATGATATTTCTTCACTAGTAGTAACCTAGAAATTAGTAATATTAGATAAATATATAAAAACCAAACATAAATATAACACAAAAATAACAAATATCTCATCTAAAATTACCTTCACAAGTGGTAGGCCTACTAAAAAAAATGGTGTCATTTCCTTTTACCATGTCACTTTCATCAGCAACATAACCTCACCCAAAATAACATAATATAAGGCTAAGAGACAACAAATCCTAAAACAGTAATGCAAAGTTTTCAAACTAGAACTGATAAAGTGAAAAATATACCTTGATATCATAGAAGGGAGTACTCTATAGAGATACTTCAGGGCTCTGTATGTCTCTCAATTTTTCTTTAACCTTATCAATTACCAACTGTAATTCATATTCCACCCCTTCTTATGTATATTTTGTTTGCAGCTCTAACCTATTTCAACCCCAGGTGATGAATTAACTATGAGTTGTTTGGGTAATGAAAGTTGTCCCTTTTCTTGTTTAGTCTAAAACATTCTTAGCAAGGGAGCCTCTTTTACAAGATTGGATTACAGATTATGTCCTTAAAGCGGATCAAGATAAGCATATGATTTGTTGGTTTGTATAAATGACTTGTGCATTTGCACCTTTCAACTGAAAATGAAAAATAAACGAAGAAATCAAAAAATGTCAAGAGAAGAATATTTTTGGAGTTGAGAAGGAAGGATATCAGGACTCAATTCAATTTAATGGATATCTATCTATATAATGCCACTATCATCCAATATTCATAATTGATTGCCAATGGAATATTCACAAACATAGAACCACCAAGTACTACTGATTCTACCATAGAATACATAGATTAGAATTGTTTTATGGATAAAAAGTTGTATGAACTCTAAAGCACAATGTACCAGCTGCTTAGAAGAAAAACAAGTAAACTAAAACTTATGCACACACAGTAATACCTTAACTAACCAGATCATATACTTATGATAGTGTTTGGATTTTTTGTAGATGAATGTTAGTGATAACAACAACACGAATTCATAGAAGAAATTAAACATACATGAGGTAAGTTGTATAATAAGCAAAAGAATTACCACTGAGTGTTGATTTGACTTTAGGCGATTCATCATGATCATGATCGCTTTCTCCTTGATCCAATGAAGAAATCGTTGATAACTCAAATCCCAAATTAGAAGTCTTCTAAATCGTCTAATTTCTCCATTCTTAATAGTCTCTGATTCTCGAAACTTTGGATTAGTGGTAGGAATTCAATCCTGCATTTATACAAACAATTGGCATGCATTAAAAAGGATAACGAAAAGAAACACCACGAAAATACAAGAATTGCAAGAATCTTCGTAAAGGACAAGCAAATTACAAAAAGAAATCTCGAAGCATCGAGTAAATCACTAGCAAAAAGTTAACATTAAAAAAAACTAAAATCAATGGTTAGATCATTCAAAATACCAATACCAACATAAAAAGGATATTAAGAATCTTTATAGAGAGTTATTACCTTTATTCGAATTCGAAACAATTTCCTCTTTAACCGCAATAACAGCAAATACTAAACAATCTTGATTTCATTTTTCTCTTTCTTCAATTTTTGGTCGATTGAGTTCGAAGATTGAACTATGAATGTATAGATGTCGGAAGTCAGATTTTGGAGCTGGAGATGGAAGAATTGAACACGATGTTGTCGACTGATTTCGGTGAAGATGGAAGGATTGTGTTAGATGTATATCTGTATGTATATCACTCAGTTCGGCTTCACTAACAACAAATCTTATTCTTCTTTATTCATCTACAACAAAGGGGGTCACATAGCCTATCTTTTACTTTATGTTGATGACATTGTGTTGACTGCTTCATCCATAGGTCTCTTACAACAGATTATCACCACCTTACGTATCGAATTCTCCATGATTGATTTGGGTGCTCTCAATTATTTTCTTGGTATATTTGTCGTTCGGGATCGTCATGGCATGTATCTCTCTCAACAGATATGCCACATAAATTTTGGACCTTGCTAAAATGTCTAATTGCAAACTTGCTCGAACTCCAGTTGAAACGTCTGCCAAATTTGATGGCTCAGGCCCTCCTATTGTTAATCCAACCTTATATCGTAGTCTTGCGGGTGCACTTTAATACTTGACTTTTCACTCAACCGGATATATCTTATGCAGTTCAATAGGTGTGTCTATATATGCATGATCCTCGAGAACCTCACTTTACTGCTCTCAAATGGATCATTCGATATGTTCGTGGCACTCTTGATCATGACTTACAACTCTATGCTTCTCCTGCTTTTGGTCTAGTTGCTTACTCTGATTCTGATTGGGCAGGCTGCCCTACCTCTCGTCGATCCACATCTGGCTATTGTGTCTTCCTTGGACAAAATGTTCTCTCTTGGTCTTCCAAACGACAGGGTACCATTTCCAGGTCTAGTGCTGAAGCAGAGTATCGTGGTGTTGTGAATGTCGTTGCCGAGACTAGTTGGCTTCGTAACTTACTCCGGGAGCTCTTTTACCCTCCTCTGACTGCTACTCTTGTTTACTGTGACAATGTTAGTGCTGTTTATCTATCTACCAATCATGTTTAGCATCAACGCATTAAAACACATCGAGATCGACATTCATTTTGTACGTGATAAAGTGGCCTTGGGCCAGATTTGTGTTCTTCATGTTCCCTCTTCATCCCAATACGTTGATATCTTTACCAAGAGGCTACCGTCTACTCTGTTTCTTGACTTTCGGTCCAGTCTGAACGTTCGTTCGTGACCTCTCCTTCGGACTGCGGGGGACTGTTAGATGTATATCTGTATGTATATATTTTATATTTACTTGGGCTGTGCAACATTGTATTTAGCCCATTATGTATTATTTTGGTATTAATATACATGAGAGGCTCAATGCCAATTCATGAGAAAATATTCACTCTAACAGATTGAACACGGTTGAAGGTCCACGTCTCTACACCCCTGGAACAAAAAGATTTCCAGGTTGTACAGTAGCCCTAAATTGTAATCATTTTCTTAGCATAAGTGATGCGTAGACCCGCTTAAGTGAAATGTACAGTAGCCCTAAATTGTAATCGACCAAATTGCCTTCATGATTATAAATTAAAAAAAAAAAAATTAATTTACCGATGGATTACTAACAAAACCGAAACTTTCTTGAATTCCGTCGGTAAACGGTCGGTATATACCGACGATAGTGTACTTTGTTGCAAATCTGTGGCAAAAAACATCACTAATATCCTAATAATTTCGTTTACTTATTCGGTCGGAAATCCGTCGGTATTCCGTAGCTATTTCCGACGGATTTTTTCCATCGCTAATGCCGAGTTTTCTAGTAGTGTCCTTTTGGCTTCAGATCTTGTGGCAGTGGTGTACCAGAGCGAAAAAATATTACTGCCTAACATTTATTATCGTAGCTAGATCACTATAGCCTTGAACTTAACTGTAGCATATATGACTTCCTATTTTAATAACCTGGCAGTATTAGGGAGACAGTGATGAGAAAATCGTAGTCTATTGAAAGGTCATTCTAACCTAATAGTAATACATGAGACTGCGATCCGTTAAAAATCCATATGCGATTTTATTGGCTAGATAGGTCATTTTAAAAAAAAAAAAAAATTTGTTATGCTAAGAAAATGATTAGAAAAGTTGATTATTTTTCTGTTTTTTTGTCTAAAAAATATATAAAGTTATTCTGATTCTTATTATATATTATCTGTAAGAGAAATTATTATAAAATTTCCGCCGGCCAAAAAATTTTGCTGTTACAAAAGAAAATTAAAATGAATCGACAAAAAAAGGAAATTACTTGAAGACCAACAAAGTCAAGAGTTAATAGACATCCGCTAGCAACACACTAACAACCAGACAAAATCAGCAGTTCACTTCATCAAATCTGAAGCTCCTTTTTTGGATACAAGAGATATCAATCGTGAAGAATCAAAGAATCAAAGGCTGCTCGAGGATTAGACTACCTTCACATGGGTACATCAACTCAACATGGAGTCATACACCGCGATGTGAAAACCTCCAATATTTTGTTGGATGCAAACTTTGCAGCTAAAATTTCAGATTTTGGATTGGCAAAAGTTGGTTTAACAGATCAAACACGAACTCATGTGAGCACAGCTGTGAAAGGAACATTTGGGTATATGGATCCATGCTATTTCTACACCTGAAAATTGACAAGAAAATCCGATGTTTACGCGTTTGGGGTTGTACTCTTCGAGGTGTTGTCAGGGAGAAAAGCGGTAGATACAAGTTTTGATGAAGAGCAATGGGGTTTAGCTGCTTGGGCTCAACATCTAATCAAAGAAGGAAAGATTAATCAAATTATTGACCCGAGATTGATTCCACAAATTTCAAGAAAATGCTTCAAGGAGTTTGCAAGTGTAGCAGGTCGTTGTTTACACACCCTACCAAAACACCGCCCTACCATGGCAGAGGTTGTGGTGAAGCTGGAGTCTATTCTTTCACAAAAAAGAGAATTCTCCAATTCGGTTGTTGATGATGAAGGATTCATATACAAGCTAAAATCTCATGTCATTGGCAAATTAGTTGTTGCTGCAATTGGAAGCAAATCTGATTTCATTGCACATCCTAAACCGATAGTAGCTGAAAATAATGCTGCAATACGAAAAAAATCCTTATAGAAGTTTTAGAGCTTTGTCATATACTGAATTGGTAAGTGCAACAAATGGTTTTGAGGAAGAGGAACATTCCCCAGATTTTAATAATTCCATTTTTTAAGGTTGGGTTGATAAAAGGACATATATGCCAAACAAAAAAGGTGCTGATGTTGCAATTGGAAGCAAATCTAATATAGTTGCGCTCCACAAACCAATATCAACTAAAGTTGATGCTGCAATAGGAAGCAAAAGCACTAATCAAAGTTTTAGAACTTTCACGTACGCTGAATTGGCAATTGCATCAAACAATTTCAAGGACAAGGAATATTCCCCAACTTTAATGGATTTCATCTGCAAAGGTTGGGTTGATGAAAGGACGTATGCACCAACAATAAAAGGTGTCGGTTTAGCGATGTATGTTACAAAAATGGAGATTCCAACACAAAAGGTACTTCCAATATTTGAAATGATTTGGATGTGGGAGTCACTTTAAATCGGATAATGAATGCGTCTCATATATTTTTCATGCATTATGATATTTTCTAGCTTCTTAAGTTAACAATTTGGTTGCACAGCAGGACATCAAACTAAAAGATTTCAATCATCCGAACCTTGTAAAAATTTTGGGATATTGCTTGAATTATCAGGAACTATTTTGTGTTTACGAGGTCATTTCTGGCATAACTTTGGATAGATATCTTTACGGAGGTAAGAATACCTTCCATTTAGTTGTAAATATCTTTCAGTCATAGCCTTGCATAATTTGAGTAGATGGCATGCAATAAATGGAAACTTGTGAACAATAGCAACGTGCATACATTTCTTTACCAATAATAGCAACTTACTTTATTTTTAACCTATTATAATAATTTAATTACATTTTTCTACCAATATGAGCACTGTACTTTATTTGTTACATATTGCCATTTGTGGTAAAGTGTAAACACATTGTTATTATGAGCACATAACTGTTTATATGTTGCTATTATTTGTAAAGTGAATGTTAACATATTACTATTATGATATGCGATAGATATTGCTACTATTCGTATAAAAATAAAAAATAAAAAAAATGGAAGTACATTTTGTTATTGGTAAATTAAAGTAAATATAGTTCTATTATGTGTGAAAAGTAAAGTATTAGTAAAAAGAGTAATAGACGTTGCTACTTTCTACAATCTCCCTTAACTTATATGCAAGATTGAAAATTGCGTTTACCCTTTCTTTTGTTACTATATATGAAGAGTCGTGTACTTCACTTTCTTGGGTTGCACGATTAAAAATAGCAATAGGAGCAGCTGAAGGCCTGGCCTATTTCCATAAAAGGAAACAGCCAGCGTATAGCCAATTTAAGACCAATCTTATATTGGTTTATAAGGTAAATTACAATGCCCTTACCGTGATTCTAGCATAACATCAATTTTAGTGTATCTTTTCATATGATTATATATTTCATGCTTATTTTCAGGATTTTAATGCTCGGCTTTCAGATTTTGCTTTTGTTACTCACACCTTCCAATTAGATGCATATTGTTATGCAGCCCCTGAGTTTTTTTGTCACCAAGTAGACACATTTGATGGTCTTCACCCATTGTGGCTACCTGAAAATGGTATCTTCTTCTTTCTAAGTGAAATGTTTTGCATATCTAAAAATAATATTGCAACAGTTTGTTTAACTTGCACTTATGATTTACCCCAACACCGCTAAAGCCTTTGGTTGGAGGGAAAGGAATAACCAAAGTAATGGAATTAGCAAGGAAATGGATTGGATCATTACATTCCACATCATGTTTAGTACACGTTACTTGTTTGCTCAAAATAATTGAACTTAATGTTCTAATTTTGATTCAAAGGAAAGAAAGTGTGTAGTTGAAATAACTCACTTAGAACGCTTTTTAAAGGATTACGTGGTACGATTAGATCGAATAAGCCTTTCTGGAATAAATACTCGGCCGCTTGTGAACCCAATGGATGAATTTTATACAAATTTTCTATTGTATATATAAATTAAATACGAGGTATAGTTTTTACAGTATTTTATATATAATTTCTTTAAATAAATATAGAATTTATTATTTATAATAATAAAAGATTAAAGATAATAGAAGCTCACCAAAACCGAAATGAGATTATATAACAGAAAATATATTTATAGTTTTTTTTTTCATAATTAAAATCTTGGAATTTTGCAAAGAAATAAGGATGGGTTATATTATAATTTTTCATTTCACTCCATGACGGAGTGTAAATCAACTAAATGGATGGGATTGAATTCCTTAAGGAATGCTCCATCGGAAAATCCTAACATCTTTCCTTTTCTAACCAAGGAAACAAACAATTCCATTCCTTCGGAAAAGCCTTTGGTTGGATAAAATGGATAACCAAAGTAATTGAATAAGAAAGGAAATGGATTGATTCCATACCAAAAACAGTGTTAATGGCTGACCAATCAAACATCACTTTCACAGGTTTTTCAATCAAGAGTGAGATCTATGCTTTTGGAGTGGTACTATTGGAAATACTAACAGGATTGGAGGTGTATGATAGGAGGAGGCCCCTTGGAAAGCAAAACCTGGTGGAATGGGCTCTTCCATTGCTAGGAGATGGGGTTAATTTGAGTATGATCATCGACCCACGGGTTCAACATATTGATTTTCCTCCAAAGGAAGCATTCAAGTTCACTCAACTTATTTCAAAGTGTCTTCAACCAAAACAAGACAAACGCCCATCAATGGAATACATAATGCAGGTTTTGCAGCATTGCTATCAAAACAGTGTGACTCTTAAAAGTCAAACTAAATAGGTCTTATGTTGATAGACATGTGAATGTAAAGTATACGATAAATAAACAAGTAGGGAAGATAGTAATGAATGAATGCTTGAATCTTGATCCATTTGTAGAATGTCTAAATAAAGTTAATATCTTGTTGAGATTTTTGGGATACTTATCGGCACTCATGTTCAAAGTCAACAAGAATCAAGTAACATGTTAGTAGATCATGTGGGACTACATTGAGTAAAGCATGTTGTATTTCCACAATATTCCAACCTTTTAGATCGAAGTGAGCTGACAAACTCTTAGAATTTATTTGTTAGACTGTTTTTTAGAACATCAGCATTTTATAATGTTAATAAGGAGCTAGACTAAACAAAATAACATCACAGTAACAACAGCAAGGATGGGATTTTGAAGCGCGTGACCAAGTTCACTTTGACCTTCCTACACATATTGTTCATGCACCTAGATAAACCGAAAAACTAAAGAGTGACTATTTTGTAAAACAAATCAGCTCCTTTAGACATAACTTAGAAACAAAGCACCATTTCAAAATAACCATAAACTCCACCAAGCAGTATAAAAAATGGCTTCAAGAAACTCCTTCAATAAAAGGGAACCAACACAACAATCAACCTACAACCCAAATATGTGTTGGTTTATCAGTTTATGACAATATTTGGATACAAAGGCGCACACACAATGGAACTACGGAAGCAATAATAACAAAAATAGTAACTTATAACTCAAAAGACAGATCTCTTGGTCAACCAATCAATGCAACAAATAAATCAACTAAAGAGGGGGAATGTGGTGGTCGGTTGAGTCCAGGATTCCATCCAACAAACGATTTAAGCAATAACATGGTCCATCTCATCCTTGTAGTTGCTTTTTACGTCCTTTTTATGCCTTTTATTCATATTTTGAAATCTGGTTACGACCATGAAAACATGAAACCACTTTTTATGAGAAGAGTGGATCATGCCTAGGGGTGGTGTTCGTTTCGATGGATCGATTTGATCCCAACCAATCAAGTAAATCCGAATAGATTTTGGTTTTCAAAACATTGATCCGAATACTCCAAACTAAATTGAAATCCAATCCAATCCAATCCAATTAAAATTTGGTTGGATTGGTTTTTATAATTCGGTTTTCAAAAACTAGAACATTTTAAAGCCACATAAAATTATAATATCACCCAATTTTTAACAAAAGCAAATTATTTAGTTGTGATTAAAATTTATAAAAAAACTACTAAAAAGGTATATTATAGTTTAATGTTTTATTAATAAAAAACTTTTGATAGAAAATACATACATATGTTTTGTATTAGGTGAAAGTTTTTAAACCTATCTGAAAAATATATTACAAAATTAATTAATAATTATAGATATATTAAAAATAAATAAATAATAAATTGTTTATTCAATTTTTTTGGACTATTCGGTTCTTATTTTATAAACCAAAACCAATCCGAAATCCAAAAAAATAATTCGGTTTTATTGAAAAACAATTCGAAAATCCGATTGTTCGAACCAAATAGTCCAATTCAAATTGTCCAATCAGACTATTTGGTGTCTTCATGATGATCTGATTCAGACAGAAACCCTAAATTGTATTATGAACCATTCACCCTTCTATTCCTTGAAATCCAAACTCGAAATTTTCAAGAATGCGTCCTGGCGAAAATCAATCCTCTGAAGAACCAAATACCCAATTATTCTCACAAATCATCCACCACCACTACACCCAAGATGATAATTTTGCTTTTCCAAAAACCCTTTCATTGGACGGATCCAATTACACCATTTGGCGCCACTCATGAAAATGCGTATTGGAGCGAGAAGGAAGATTGGATACCTGACCGGTGAAAAAGTTGAACCCTCAAAGGACTCTTCTGAATATGAAACATGGGCCACGGAAAATGAGAAGGTAAAAAGTTGGTTAATTGATTCCATGGAAACATCACTTATGAATAGGTACATTCATCTCCCAAGTGTCAAAGATATTTGGGATGCAGCAGAGAAAACCTTCTATGATGACTCAGATTAAACTCGAATCTTTGAATTGAACAAAAAGTGTTTTGAAGCAAAACAGAATAGCCGACTTATTCCTACCTACTACAATGAATTGGTAGCCATGTTCTATGAGATTGATCAAAGAGTGACGTCTCAAAACAATAATGCAACAACAGTTCTTCTCCAGACGCTAATGATGTCTCGGTTGTGGGTACATATGTTTCTAAGTGCACTTGATCCTGAATATGATCAGGTAAGAGGAGAAATACTAATAAAGGATCCTAAGTTCTCACCGGAACAAAGTTAAGCATACATTAGGAAAGTTCAATCCGAAAAACAGGCCATGGGACGCTCAATTCCTATTGAAGCCTCTATGTTAACTGTTCAACACTCTTGTTGATGGTCCTCACACTCGTTGTCCCACATGTAAAACAAACTCCTACGCCAATAAAAAATGTAATGTGTGCGGAGAATTAGGTCACAAAAAGGAGAGATGTTATGAAGTGATCAGATATCCTGATTGGTGGGATTTCACTAAGAAACCATGAAAGAATGTCACCAGAGCTGTTGTGGCTACTACTAAAGATGAACAACTAAACGAATGATCCAAAACTTATATAAAAAGAAAACTTAAAACCACTCCCCAAAATGTTGTCTCAACAGTTGATGGTTCAATATTTAAGGTTAATGGTGAAGACCTGGTAGTGCTATCTGATTCCTTAACACTTGACTCCATCCTTGTGGTTCCATCCCTCTCATATAACCTCTTATATGGCAGTCAAATTGTCCTCGAACTTGCATGTATAGTGACATTTCATCCATCTTGCTGCATATTTCAGGACATTCTAACTCACCAGACTCTTGGTTATGGTGTTAGAAAAGGGAAAATGTATTACTTGGACCTAATAGATACCGGAGAAAAATGCAAATGTTTAGTTATGCTAATCAAATCAAAGGAGTGAAGAATGCAAGGGAAATTGTATGGTTATGGCATCGCCAATTAGGACATCTATCTTTTGGTTACCTTAGGAAGTTACAACCTCATTTATTTACAAGTATAAGTGACTCTGAATTTCATTGTAACATTCGTGAACTTGCTAAAAGTCACTGTGTTTCATATTTACCAAGTAATAATAAATATCATATTCCTTTTATGAAAATTCATTCGGATGTGTGGGATCCTGCAAAGTTTCCTTCTTTTTCTAGATTTCGATACTGTGTAACATTTATCGATGGTTGTACCCGCATGACATGGGTAGTTGTATTGAAAAAGAAAAGTGAGGTCTTTGAAAGGTTTGTTGATTTTTACAAAATGGTGGCAAATCATTACCATCAAGGTATCAGAGATTTTCAATCTAATAATAATGGAGAAATTATAAATAGTTGCATGTCAGAGTTTGTCGTGACAATGGGATCCACCATCAGACCTCAAACTCTGTCACACCCCAATAGAATGGTCTCGCAGAACGAAAAAAATAGACAACTGCTATAAATTTTTCATGCTTCTTTGTTTGGCATGAACGTCCCCAAATCATACTGGGGTGAAACGGTTAAAATGACAACATATGTTCTTAATCGCACCCCCTCACGAGTAATCGAATTTCAAAATCCCCACCAGAAACTTCATCAACTGTTAGTTGTTCCTTATATGCCAAACTTAGAACCTCGAGTATTTGGATGCACAACCTTTGTTCACATCCCAAAACAACAACGCAGAAAACTTGATCCATGTGCAATGAAATGCATTTTGTCGGTTATGCAGAGTTCTAAAAAGGGTATAAATGTTATGAACCACTCACTAACCAGATGCACGTATCTCTTGATATCTCTTTTCATGAATCTGAACCATACTACACAGGGGGAGTTTCTGAGTCTTCCCTTCAGAGGGAGAGTAACGGTGAAGGAAATCCTAATTCTCATATGTTCTTTGATGTTTTTAAGGAATTATAGCACTTGGAAGAACAACTCCTCAACACAACAACATGATCAAGGATACCCGAAGAAATAAATGGCCTGGGCGAACTGATAAGTAACACAAGGGATCCAAGTGAATCAGTTCATCATGAAACTGACCCGTTCATCACGAAACTAAACCCACTATTCAAATCAACCCTGAAATTCAAAATATTTCTTCCCCTACACCAGAACCTGAAAATAATGATAAAATCGACCCTCCACAATCCCTTTAACCCATGTAACAGAGAACAATGAACCTCGAATCTATAAAAGAATCACAAAAGGAGTTCCAAAAAAATAGTATGAACTAGACATCACATCTAAAGCAAAATACCCTATAGCTAACTTTATGTCCAACTACATGATCTCTGAGTCGCATGCACTTTTCATTAATCAATTATCTATTGTATCTATTCCTAATAACATGCAGGATGTATTAAAAGATCCAAAATGGAATAAGGCAATAAATGAAGAATTAGAAGCTCCTGAAAAGAACCTGACTTAGGAGATTGTAGAGAAGCCGGCTGCAACGAAAACGTTGGGTTGCTGGTGGATATTTACCATAAAACATAATGCAAACGGAAAGATTGATAGATATAAAGCACGGCTCATTGCTAAGGGATACACATAACGCCATGGAATTGATTATAAAGTGACATTTGCACTGGTAGCTAAAATCAACACCATCGAAATTTTCATTTCTCTAGTAGCAAATAAAGATTGGCCGTTGCATCAACTTGATGTGAAAAACGCATTCTTGAATGGAAACCTAGAAGAAGAAGTGTACATGGATATCCCTTCAGGTGTAAAAACAAACCCAAGTAATGTTGATAAGATGCATAAGTTGAGGAAGTCGTTGTATAGATTGAAGCAATCGCCAAGAGCTTGGTTTGGAAGATTCTCGAAATCAATGAAAGCTTTTGGGTGCAAATAGAGCAACTACGACCACACTTTGTTCATAAACCAAAAGAATGGTAAGATCATAAATCTGATTGTATATGTTGAATGAAGAGATACACAATTCCCAAATTACTCTGTGTCTTTATATATCAT